CGGAGCCTCGTGCAGGGGGGCCTGGGGTGCAGAGCCCTTGGCAGGCGACGCCCCCCGGTGTACGGGCAGGCGGGTGCTGCTCCTGCCCCGGGTGTGCCCTGGGGGCCGATCAGTCAGTAGCGTCAGTGCCGCTGGTCACGCCTGGGACGTGGCTACGAGTGTGTCCGCTCCCTGTTCACTTCGCTGACATTGGCCGCACAGAAGCAGCTTTGCTGCCACTTTGCAGTTTGGGGGGCTGTTGTCACGCCCCCACTTTGCTGGGCCCTGACGTCTCCCTCTGCTGCCCTCGCCCCCTCCTCTGCCCGGGCCCCAGCGCTGGCCCTGCAGCCACTCCGCGAGGCAGGCCTCTGGTCCCCACGGGCTCTGCGCTGTTTGGACCCCCCCACACCCGAGAGGTCTGTTCCTCACGTTCTTACTCTTCCTCCACGTAAAACGCATGGTCCTGACAGCGGTGCAGCTTCTGCGTCTGGCGCTCCCCGTGCTGTTCTCGGGGTGTCTTGTGTGTGCCCCGCTGTCACGGGGTCTGCAGCAGCCAGTGTGCTCCTGAGTCTTCTGTTTGAGGGCCAGGCCGTTTAAGGAGAAACGAGTTGTCCAGAAGGTCCATTGTGGACAGGGCTGAGCCATCCCGCCTCCCTGGTGGCCTTTGCATGTGGATCTCGGGCTGGTGTTTCTCATGAGGTTGATGCACTGAAGGTAAACCCTGGGGGTGTGGTGACAGTGCAGCGTAGATAACACAGGGAAGCCTGTGAGGCCGTCCTGGCCACAGGTGTGATGTGCCCTGTTCAGGCCTCGTGCCCACGTGAGGTGAGGGCAGCAAGTGCTAAAATTTGGACGGAGTGCCACAGCTGCTCCCGAGACAGGGTGGGAGTCCTGTTTCCCTACGGAGCGACCTGTGTGCTGAGAGCCCGAGGAGCTCCTAGTGTAGTGCACGGGGGGGCTCCTGGGGGCCTCCCCTCCTCCAGCACGGGCACACTGGCGGTGGGCGGGGGTCTAGGGCCCAGACATGGTGTGGGGCCGTCGCCTTGGGCTCCAGGGGAGCATGTGCCTGAGCCCTGCCAGCTGGCGGCCTGTGCCCGCTGCCTCTCGAGCCACTCTGCCCACAGGAGGGTTCTTGTACCACTCTGAGCCCCCATGCCTTCGAGGACCTTCCCCTGAGGGCACTTGGGCCCCTACTTAAGGGCATTTGCATCTTATGTTTCAGTTTGATCAAGCTCAAAGCTGGAAGTAGAATCAGATGGGGGACTCACAGGGACCAGGATGTTCCAGGGGCGCGCCCCACCCAGGGAGCCCCAGCGTGTGGGTTTGGGGTCACATCCCAGGCTAAGCCCCAGAGTAGGAGGACCTGAATTTGGCGTGGTGGTGTTTGGGGGCAGAGGCGATGATACAGACCAGGACGTCCTTGGGCTCTGGACGTAGGTGTCCTCTGTTAGTGAAGCTCCTGTGCCTTCGATCAAACCAGGACCTGACCGAGCACAGAGCATGTTTCCCTGACAGCCCCGGAGGCCCCTGCGTGTGGGGCAGAGCCAGGCTCTGTGGGCTCAGGGTCAGGAGGTTCCGACGTCTCGTGGCTGCCAGGAGAGAACACGAGCATGGGGGACAGCGGCCCCGGAGTCCACCTTCTGCCCAGGAACCGCCTGACGGGGTCAGGGACCTCCACTGCCCCCGCCTCCCCTCGGAGTTCTGTCTCCCCTTGGAGATCCTGCTTCTGCTCTCAGTGTTCTGAGCCGTCTCCTCCAGCTTTGTCTCCGTCATGCCCGCTGGGCGATGTCTGTGGGGAAACCGGGCTTGTGCCGGCTTGCGCCGGCTCACCTCTGACCCTAGGCAGCTTCTGTCCCTTGGGGTTGTTGGGGGCACGGGGCTGGGCCTGGAGGAGGCCCTCGTAGGGTCGGATCCCCCTTGAGGCTCAGCAAGGACGTGGGGCTTGGGCGCCACTGTTAAAGCCAGGAGTGTCAGAGCCCTTCCCCCAGCTCGGGCACCTCCTGCCTCGTCTGGCTCCCTCCTCTGCCTGCGCTCTGACTGCCTCCTGGGAACATTTCTGGATGTGGGTTTGGGCACGGCCCCCTTCCCACAAGAGACCCCTCACCTCTCCGCTCGGGGTGGTGCCTGCCCTGCTCTAGGGGAAGAAGAACGGTGTGTCCTGCTCACCAGGGACGTCACCACAGGCTGCAGAGGACTCAAGAAGCCCTTTCCTGGGGCCCGTAAGTCAATGTCCATGAGACAGACTGTTCCTTTGGGAATCATTGTAGAGGCAGAACTGCTCAGCTGAACCTCTGTCTCATGCACTGAGGACACGTATGGGGTGGGTTCGTGGTTGGGGTTAAAGCTGTGTCTGAAAGACTGAGGTGAATTGGAATAGATGGGCATGTCCCACCCCGGGAGACGCAGATCTTTAGAGGAAGAGGTGCTCTGGCCTGGCCCGGCCCGGCCCGGGAGAGGGGCCCTCCGGCCCCAGGTCCTGGCTCGGGGCCAGGCGTGGTGCCCGTGGGTGCATCCTGGACTCTCTGGTATGTTTACCTCATGCGTGTCTCTGTGGGAGACGAGTGCCCTGGGCTGCCCTGTGCCCTCTCCCTTGGGACAGGCGCCCACCGAGCCTGAGCGCCCCCCTGCTGCCTGGCTTTGGCTGCCTGGCTGCTGTTGTGTGGAGAGTGTGTGCTCTGCGCTGACGGGCTGTAGGTGGTTTGGCAGCCAAGACCCGGAGTGCTCCAGAATGGTCCTCTTATACTTCCCGTGGCAGGAGATGGAAACCCTGCATCTTTCCCAGGCCCACCCTCCAGGTGCCAGCTCATCTGCGCTCCGCACCCTTTTGCTCCAGGTGAGAGGAGTGGGGCCACACACCGTTTCTGAAGGCCGAGGGGCCAAGCGTGAGGAGCTCCAGGCCTGGGCTGGATGTGCATGGCCGCCACCCTGGTCAGGGCTGCTCTGCAGACGCAGGTGGGCGGCCCCGGGCTTCGAGAGGGTCTGGCTCCAGCCACCAGAGCCAAACAGCACAGCTGTGGCTCCCCCACCGAGAGTACCCTGGCTTTGACAGGCCGCTGGAACTTCCTAGGGGTTTCCCCTCACAATGAGGCTGGCCCCCTGGTCACCCGGCTGCTGAGTGGGGAGCCAGGTCAGGGGCTGGAGGAGCCCAGACACCATGTTCTCCACCTGCACCCTTGGGCCTCTGTCTGTCCAAGTGGGGCTTTTGAGCCGATTTTTCCCCGCCTTCAAGGGGGTTCATTTCTGCCAAGTGTGTGAGGGTCTGAGTGGGGCTCCAGCCAGCCTCCCTCCCCCGAGGAGGCAGCTGGCCTGTTACCACAGGAGGACCTGTGTGGGTGGAGGCGGTTCTAAACGTGTCCTTCCCGCTGGCCCGGGCCTCAGCGGGCTCAGTGCCGATGCCCTGCACTGCGGCTCTGCTGCCCCGGCACCCGAGGTCCTTGCTCGGTGTCCTCGCTGGACCAGGAGACACTGTGGAAGCTTGGTCCTCTTGACCATGGCCTCTGGGGTGGCAGCATCCCGACAGCAGTGCCCCAGCACAGGGCTGGGTCTTCCTCCCGGAGCCAGGCTTTGTCTCGTGGCTGACGACTCCCCCCGTCTGATCCCCATGGGGTTGAAGTGGGAGTTGATGTGGGTCTCTGCAAATCGAGTGGGTTCTTGGTCATCCCCTGAGGGTCCCGAGCACTCACTGTCTTTGGTCCTTCCTGGCCTGGGCCTCGCATGCCCAGTATTGGCCAGAAAATAGTCCAAAGGCCACTGTTACTCCTTCCTTGTTACACTGTTGAGGTTACAGTTTGATCTCTAACCCAGGCCTTTCCTCCTTAATTACGTGCACTTCAATATCATTTGTTACGTCATCTACGGAAGTAACGGAGGGTCAAGTAAAGGAGGAAAGAACTTTGCAGAACTGTTGGGGACCCTGGTAAGGTCGCCTTCTCTCCCCTGGTGCCGTCGCCAAGAGGCTCAGTGTCATCTGAAGCCGGGTGGCGGGTCTCAGAGGATCCCGGGGGGGTGCAGGGAGCCTCCACTGCCAGCCCGGCACCATGGGGGCCCTGCCTCGCCTGCATCTTTCTGCTGGATGTGGATGCCAACGCGTCCAGAGGGTGGCAGTCATTACGCTTGACAACAAAACGACAACCAAAAAGTGTTGAGTGTCTTTCCAAGTGAAAACTCTCAAGTCAGTGTATTTTAAAAGCTGTTTTCACCATCCAGGAATGTAGGAATGTAATTTGAGTAAATGAGCTTATTTACATAAATTGTCATAAGTTGAACTCTGAGGAAGACAGTCAACGGGTCATAGAGTCCCCAAACCAGCCGGTCTGTGTCTCTGAGTGGAGTCGGCGGGATGCGTGTCCCAGACTGTCCGGAGCGGCCCTGGGAGACCACAGGCCTGGCTGGCCTCTCTTGGGGCCGAGGGCGCAGCCACTGGGGTTGGGTTGGGGCATGGCCCTGTCTGGAGCGTCCCAGGGGAGGCTTGGGGGCCGCCTTCTGGGCACAGACCTTGCCTGTGGGGCCTGTGTGTCCCCTCAGGCTCCTAGGGGTGTGGCCCTGCCAGGCCCGGGGCCTGGCCCTCGCTTCTGTCTGCTTCCCGTTAGTGTAAGGCTTCTCCTTCCCAGACGCTCCTCTTGCCACTGGAGCGTCTGTCCTTCCTCGGGTGGCTGTTGGGGTTTCCTTACTACAGTGACGGGGCCAGACTTAGGGTTGGCTTCCGGGTGAGCTTTGTCCCGGCCAGGGGCTGGGGTTCAGGGTGAGGGTTTGCAGAGGGGCTGTCATGGGGTTGAAGAGATGCGGACGTGAGAGGAGGCTGCGGCGGAAGGCCTGCTTTCCGGGAGCGTCCAGACAGCCTGCCCAACTTGTCTCCTGTGGCCCAGGGACTGCCTCCCCCAAACTGCCCTGGCACCTCTGAGCCTTGACGCCCCTGCCGGGTGGGGGCTGCACAGACACCAGGAGGTGAGCTGGCAGGGGCGCGGGAGCGGCTGCACTTTGTGACAAAGGTCTTCCCCCAAGTTCCTTAACGCAAGCACCAGCTACACACAGAACGGCATTCTGCACATGCTGGACAGAAACAAGAGAATCAAGCCCCGGCCAGAAAGATTCCAGAACTGCAAAGATCTGTTTGATCTGATCCTCACCTGTGAAGAGCGAGTGTATGACCAGGTCGTAGAAGGTAAGAGCACAGACCCAGCGCCGGCTGTCCTGTGTCCGTCCCCCTGTCCCGCTGTGTCCGTCCCTCTGTCCTGCCATGTCCATCCCTTCTGTCCTGTGTCCGTCCCTCTGTCCTGTGTCTGTCTCTGTCCCACTGTGTCCATCCTCGTCCCGCTGTGTCCATCCCTCCTGTTCCAGTGCGTCTGTCCCTCCTGTCCTGTGTCCGTCCCTTCTGTCCTGTGTCCCTTTGTCCCACTGTGTCCATTCCTCCTGTCC